ACTCTTTCCTGGGAAGGTCTCTTCCACAGGGAGTTGTAGCCTCCTGGTACCTTTGGTGAGGCACATCTGCCAGCACACTCTTTTCTTCATGTAAGAGATTTTCCAGAGGGCATGAGACAGCTGACACTGGCACAGAAGCCAGGCAGGAACAAAATGTAATGCTGTCTATCACTGACACACAGCAAATGGAGCACCTGAGTACTAATATAGAGGTATATCAGTGTGCATGGTAGCAAATGTTTTCGCACATGTTTTCCTCACCATTAATTAAAGGTGAAGAGGTAAAGCCAAGGTGAGGTTCTGGAGCCTTTGGTCCATGATCACTTTTACTTTTCTCTCACTCTTTGTTTCAAGGATGACTAGGAGCTGGAAGGACTCGTACAAAATCTAATTTTACCTATTTGCTGCAGTTTTGAGGGAGAGAGGTAACTGTGATCTCAAAACGTACGTCTACACTACGAAACTGTGAGGAATAGTTAGGACAGGCTTCCTCCTCAAGAGTGGAGGCTCAGAGCATTTGAAATCATAGAGAGTAGTAAGGCTACACTGATATTTGGTTAGCTCCTGCAGCTGCTGGATATGCCTAGGCAAAACAATTTGACTCAGGAGAGAACAGAAATGCCAGTAGAAAGGAAAGCCAGTGTCGAGTACAGGAACAGATTGTCCTTTCCAGAAAAAAAGACCAAAGTAAAGGACATGATCCCACGTCAGATACTTCAGCTGAGGACAATTTGGATTTGTTTCCTTGAGTGACCTTTAGACCCCACAGATTCCCTTCAGAAGAGAGCAGGGAGATGACTGTGAGGTGCACACAGTACATGCTTTTGCAGAGCGGGAGAGAAGGGAAGGCAGGCAGTGACGGAAGAGACTATTCCTCCAAAGGAAGGCTCTCTCTTTTGAAGATTGGTTGCATTTTGTTAAAACAGTTATACAAGAAGTGCTTTCACAGCTGCAGAAAAAACAATGCTACTGGTAGCATACATACAAAACATACATACATTGGTGCTTTTGATCTGTAGAAATGTCAAGAAGTTCAAGACTATCATTTCTGAGGTCACAGAGCACTGAAGGAAACTTTGATACTCAGAATATCCAGAAATTATATTTCTGTCTCTTTAGCTACCTTGTCAGGCTGGGTCAATATTTACCCGGATCAATGTTTACTAAGCTTAGGTCAATATTTACTCACATTTTTAGTAGAGGAACTCCATTGCCATGGTAAAGAACAGTTTACTACAGGTAATTGGAAGAAATTATTATGCATAGTGTAGAAAGAAGAGGAGAGACAGGCAGTAGTATATTAGAGAAAGTGGAGGATGTCATGCTAGGGAGCTAGTAAAGCCCAGGCGTGAGATGTAAAGATAGAGGAGGTGGAGAGGGCCCCTGAGAGGCAGCCAAACAGAAGATCTGGTTTCATCCCTTCCTGATGGGGATTGGCACTTACCTAGCTGGTTCATGAGGACTTTGAGGCAGATTTGCCCGCCCCTCTTCCTTACCACAACCACCACAACAACGCTAACCAGTCTTTGATCATCAAAGCTGGGATCTATTAGAAGGAAGACCAAGAAAAATGTCTTTTTCAGTAGTGGAAACTTAGAATGAGGTAGAACCTGAATCTGTGGGCCACCATGTTCCTGCAGGACAGATCCTGTCCTCCTACTTTGTTTTTTTTCCAGTACCATTATGGATTGCAATAAACACTACCCTCTTTTCCTCCAGGCTCCCTAAAAAACCCCTCTTTATTTCCACTCCAGGGGCAGATTATGTTGGCTCCCCATTCTTCTGAGGAGAACCTGTGCTGGCAGCGCTGGGTGCCTGCTGGACGTGCCTCTCTCCCAGCTCAGCCCCGCGCGTCAGGAGCTCTTCCCCCAGGGTATGTTTGCTCCTTACAGGGCAGCTGCTCATCTCCTTCCTGCAGAGACTTCCACTGGATCCAGGCAGAGCAGTCAACAGCAGGCAGGCTTCCTGTCTTTTCTCCCACTGCTGCCCTTTGAAAGGTCCACAAAATAAGCTGTGAGCAAATGAAGCAGATGCTATCCATCAAAATTTAATAAAAAGGCGGTTACATAAATAACATTAACATGCAGTTGCCTGTAACTTTCTGGGAATCAGCATTTGGAGCAGCATGTAGCCCTATAAATTTGTTAAATTGGAGAAATAAAATCATATAGAAAGTAAGATTTTTCTAATCATGATTTTTTATATTGACTAAACTGTAGTCAAAGTAGGTCAGACTGAGGGGGACAGCTTATCAATGCTAGACCTTGTGTATGGTCATGGGCCTTAAAATTACATAATCACTTAATATTGTTCTTGGGTTGTGTGATTTTTTTTTAAAGTTGTTTATCTTCTGAGCGAATAGCAGGGGGAAAAGACTGAGGTTAAAGTAATATTTGTATCAGAAAGGATCCCACATTCCCCTAAGAGCACAGAAATGACTCAAAAACAATTAATAGGGTACTGCCCCAATATTCAGTGTCATAAGTCCTCTCCCATTACAGTTGCTCAGTCCTACACATAGTCCATGTTTTATTTCAGGAGGGCTTGCATGCCTAACACACACCCCTTCTATCTCTGCAGGCATAAGTGTTTTCATAATTCCTAAAGGTGGTAACATCTTTTCCCCTCTGAGCTTCTCGAGATGGACTTTATTACAAAAAAAGTAAGAAAATTCTCCCTCTACGGGCAGCAGTTCATCTGCAGGCAGTCTGGGAGCCCCCAGCCCACCAGGCAGGCACCCTGTGCTCCACCTGTTCCCACCTTGATCTCGATGTTTTTGTTTGATTTTCCCTCCTGCCTAAGGCAAAAAAATGAGAGGTGGCTGCCCATCCCCTCCTGTGCCTCCAAAGAGATGACTAAGCTATTAAGTTATAACACCTTTCAACCCCATAACAGATATCAGAACAAATGTATTACGATTTTACTGGGAAAGGATATGAATGGGTTTTGTGAAGCAAACTGACAAGAAGTTTACCCTGACCTGTTCCTCATCAAAATCTTGCTTTGAAATGTTTTTAAACACCAGATGCAGCTGGTGACCAAGGTTCAAATAATTGACATTACTAAGATGCAGCCAAGATTTCAGCAAGCCTCATGGCGACACTTCTGGACAAAGATAAGGCTTTGTTGTAAGCATGAAAGCTTGGAACACCACTAATCATATGTAGAAAAATGTCAGAATAAAAATCATTAGCAGTCTTGAGTCCAGTGGAGAGGCTGGGGGAAGAGGGGAAAGAAGTTAGCTCAAAGACTAGGGGTGAATAAATGATCCCTAACTTTTAGAGTGAACTTTATAAAGAGGCTGTAATGTAAGACGTCTGATGACACCTTTGTGCTACACTGACCAAACCCAGTCAACTATTCTACCATGTTTTCATCCACCAAAGGAGAACAGTTATAAGAGCTGTTTTAATGGCTCTTCTTGAAATTAAATGAAGAGAATAGCTAAAATTTCAAGAGTTTATTGTGTTTCTAAAAATTCAGACTTCTTTTAAACATCATTTCACATTTTACAGGCTTTAATTTCAGATTTGCACCTGGTCTTAGCCTAGGGGCAGAAATAAAAGGGTACAAGTCAAAACAGAGAGACAAGCCTCCAGTATTTAGACAGGACAGCTAACAGCACAGGGAAGCTACACATGTTCACAATGTGTTTGGATTACTAAATAAATAGTAATTATTGTATTTGCTCTCCTTTCAGTTTGCTAGACTTTTAAAATTGTGCAGGAATAGAGAAACTGCATTTTAGCTTCCATTGATATTTGCATGAAACAGAAATTACTAAAATAAAGTGTAAATCTGAATAATGAGTCAGATATGTTTTTCCTTTCATGCTTCAAAAAATCTCCACTGTCTCTAAAAAAAACCCAAAAAAACCCACCCCAAAAATACCAGTTAAAGTTAATTTCCCCTCTGCTTTGCTGTCCTGGTGAGAAAGCAGTAAAAAAAAAAAAAAAAAAAAAAAAGCGAAGTTTATATAAAGCAGTTCTAACCACAAATGTTAGAGTCGTTCTACTAATGAAAACATGATTTTCATATATATCAAAAACATGCTGTAGTTTGAAGAAATACATAAAAACTCTATTATTAGACAGGATAATAGTATATTACACTATATACTACTTGGTTTGACAATGATTATGGCATAAGCAAAGGCAGGTTGATATCTGTTTAAATAGTTTTACCTAAAGCTACCCTTTTTTTCTGATATTAATCTGCACTTTGACTAACTCCAAGATTAATTTTATATCATTTCCCTGAATTACAAATACTATAAACAAGAGGAAAAGCCAAACATTTTTCTCAGTAATGAGTCAGAAAAAAAAAACATTGTTAAAACCAAGAAAACTTTCCTAAATATATGTTATAGGGACATAAATAAAATAAGTAAGATGAATTACAGCTAAGCATCTGTCTTACAACGTACAAGTAGTTTGGGATTCTAAACAGATGAAAAAGAAATAAAGCAATTGAAAAAGAAAAAGGAGGAAAAGAAAGCAAAAGAGCTGATAAAGTTTCTGGCTACAATACAGGAGACATATCATTACCATATGATCTAATGTGGGTGTCAGCCTGGATTGTGTTCATTGAGAGAAACCTTATTTTTTAACTGTGCTATGGAATAGAAGCAGGAGGGTTTTCCACCAAGTGACAGTCACTGAGCTGAACTTACCCCCTCCTCCTTTCCACACCTGCAAAGCCTTTTGCCTGGGTTGAATATTTAGTTTAATTACATCTCAGCTTTGAGAGCTCCTGTTGCAAATCCCTGGATTAAAAGGTACGGTTTTCAGTAATTCTCCTGAACTATGCTGCACTAATAAAACTTCAGGCAAGTCTACGGCAAGAACTAGTTGAATTTTAAGAGAAGCAAGGAAAAAATCCTACTAAATGTTTAGCAATGTTGAGTTTTGTATCCAGGACTTTTGTTTCTTGGGAACATGAGAACGCATTCTCAAGGACTGTGCAGATTTCCTACTGTTTATTTGACTGTTCTGTCTCTTGTTTTGATTTGTATAAGCACTGCTATAGACCTTTCTTTTTTCCTTACTGTAAACTTTTGCAGCAGTATATTCTCTGTTTGCAATCCAGTGTTTAGAATCGGTGATGTAGTGAGTCTAAAAAATGTGTGAGTTCTTACATTTCTGTTTTAAACTGCACTCTGTGATTTCTTTCTCATTCGGATTTCTTCATATATAGTCCAAACATTAATGAATATCATTTCAATTTCAGAGAAAAAGAAAATGTAGTAGTTAAACGGGCTCAGTGTATGCCTTTGTAATGTTAGAAAGTGCTATGTTACAGTATACAAACAAGGGACTCAGATTTAAAGAAAGTTCCTATGAATGAAATAGTAGAAAAGAAAATTCTTGGAGTTGAAAATCCTGTTAAAAGAGTTTTAATCTCTTTAAAACTTCCAACTCCTATGTTTGCACATCTAAACTTTATTACACAAAATGGGTAAAACATATAATGAAGGGGATTTTTTTTTTTTTTTTGAAACTGCACATATTTTTCAATTTGTGTTTTGTGGCATTTTGAGAGATTTCTAACAGTAGGTGAACTAATATTTAAAACTTAATATTAAGGTAAACTGACAAGAAGACCACCAATACAGTGGTGACGTGAACTGATGAAGCATATTTCCAGTGGTATTTTAAACTGAAATGTGGCCAAGCCTATGGTATAGTTTCCTCTGTTTGTGGAAAAGTCTTCCTCATTGTAAACACATAATTAAAGCAAATTTAAACAGTTATGTCCTGCAGACATAAATATTGTGTCACAGACCTTTAAGAATTCAGATTCCCCCCCCCCTTTTTTTTTTGTAAGTGAATTGTAAACATTTCTTACTAGTGCAGTTTTGTATACATTTTTTTCTCTGTTTATCTTCATTTACACATGCAAACAATAGGAACAGAGATATGTGTGCCTGTAGTATGAATATGTATATGAATAAAGATATGCAGACACAGATCTGTTCCTATTTCCTGATTAATATGTAGCTTGTGTCTGCTATTTTCTCTGCTGTGTCTTCAGATCAGATCCTTTATATCCTTTGTTGCCTTACAGCTTTGCTTTATTCACAGCTCTTGCTGATTTTATTATAGTTTTGACCAAACAGGGACCGAAGGAAAAGGCCTACTTCAGGGTATAACTGAGATAAGTGAATTCATCAATATGAATGTGAACAAGAAGTGTGAAAACACTTCCGAAGTGCCTTTGCATTGTTTTGGGTTTTGGGTTTTTTTCGAGGAGTAGTGAGTTAACTCCAGGATAAGATCCTGACTCTGCATTCTTGGGATGGACGGTGCTTCAGCAGTTACCATGGCGGGGGGGGGGAATACAAGCAGTTTTAAATATTTAAAAATATTTTTAAAATATACAAATATGTAAAAAAGAGCCAGGGAAGCTCTTTAAAAATTCCTGACTGCCAGTGCCATGCCAGGGTTGGTGTGCAGCATTCCCAATGTTTCTTAATGTTAATATACATTCTGAAAAATAGTTTGTACTGGAGTAATGTTTTATTGATCATTTTCACGAGGCAGCTTATTACGATGAATGGTGATGATTTAGCAAATTTGCCTTCCTGTTTCAGACTATTAATAAATTGCATTGTTATTTTACAATAATTTGTACATAATAATGATTATTTCAAAAATCTTGTTTTAGATTAAACCGTGGTAAGAACTCACCGCCATGTATTCACATGTATTGCTGTGACATCCCTACTAGTCGTGTGTACTCTGCATGCATCATGGGGGTGTTGCTGGGGAAGGGACGCAGCCCCAGTGTCGGTGTGGGGCCAGGGCAGGAGGGAGTGCGGGAGGATGGCCCACGCAGGGACGCAGCCTGCCCCTGCTACATGGCACGAGTTTGCACAGCACTGAGTCGGGCTAACCGGACATGCCAAAATGCTCCAGCCTTCCAGTTGACACTGGGGTCTGAAACCCCTCAGTGCAGGCAGTAGGTAATATGTCTGCTCCAGGAATAGGTCCAGCTAGGAAACCAGCTATGTCTCTTAAAGAAGCAACAGAAACAGTGTTTTACTCCATGTGAACTCATTTTGAAGTCTGGGACATCTGAAGATGTTAGATACCCGTCTTCCGGTTAGGCAGAGGACAGAAATGTAGGCTATGATTTTTAAAACACTAGCATAATTTATACGTTAACCTTATCATCCTCTCAAGACTGAGCCCTAAAGGTTTCTGCAGGATTGCATTATCGGCATCTGTAGGTAGAAATTCATAAAGGAAATTGAACCCTGGCACAAAATAGATTATATCTAATTCAAGGCCTGTGGTTTTTATTTATTTAGCTTTTTTTTAATACTAACCACTCCTGTTAGAGTACCTGGATGTGGTAGAGATCTCAGAGGCCTCAGTATACCAGTCACCTAACATCAGCTGCCCATGTTAGTAGTTCCATATGTCAATGTAGAGAGGGAGACAGTCCTCCTCCTCTGCCTCTCCCCCAGGTTTTTTATCTTTCCATTAGTCAATATGGACCTGAGAAATGCTATACCACGCCCCAAATGGTTAGGTAACTTCTGCTAAAAAAAAGTTAATCCCAGCTAGGGCCCAGACAAGGCATTTGGGAAGTTATTGACCTGAAGAAGCAAGCGGACGTTTTTGCTTTCATTACAAAGAGCAACATCTGTATTTTGGACTATGCCATCCATTTTAAGAAAAGGCTCCTAAATAAGTGACAAGTTTACCTTTCTGTCACTTGGCAACTTGAAGGCAGGTTTCTTCATACTTTTTTTTTGGTGACTTGTTTTTAGACCCATGAAGGTTTGTAAAAGATAAGCTTCCTTATATAAAATAAATAATAAAAGGAAATAATTTTCAGAAAATTAGCTGGTCTATACAGCCTTGATACAAAACCTGCAAACAGCTGTTTTGTAATTTTTCCTTAGTGCACAACAATACAGGTAGCACAACGTACAGTATGTTGAAATGCATTTAGGCCTAGGTCCTGAGATCACATATTTAATCAGTTTTCCTTGTTAATATCTATGTCAATACACACTTGCATAAAGTTGCTCCTGAGCATTAAAGTCTGCAGAATGAGGCCCTGAAGCCCCATTAAAAAGTGTGTTGACAATACTACAAGCATCAGTTCAAATGCTTATGCAGTGCAAAGCAGAGGATTTTCAGGGTACATTGTTGATATCGTAAAATCTCCTAGCCAAAAATTTGAAAAAACCCAAGAATATCCAATATAACACAACACTGTATTCCATTTTATTGTGCTGTTTAAACTAGGAAAGAAGCATAGCTCATTTAAACAGCTAAAGATCTTCCCCTCTCTTTCCACCCCGTCACTAGATTCTACTCTTTCTCAGTCAGTTTTACTAGGCTATAATTTAAAACACACAGCAAGCTGGCACTTTAAAAAAAAAATTTCTCAAGACATGAAATACTGCATTACAGTGAGTTTGGGAACCTCAGGTTTGTCCCCAGGGGACAAACTCATTGCCATGAAACAAATGCTAATGAAATCAAATAGACTGTTAGGTTGGCAGAAAGCAGACACATGGAAAATGTGGCTTATTGTGTTGACTGTTTTGCATAACAAAGTTGACAGCGCTGCCTGTTCCTAATAAATATTACCCTAAATATGCAAACAGATGTGTTTACAGTTGCCTTTAAACTGCTCTGTAAAAAAAACCCAACCTATTGACAAGCAGTTACCAGACTCCTATCACATAACTGTCCTATTTTCATAATTCAGTTTTCATTTATTGAAAGGAACAGTTATGCAATTGGTGGATGTGCTGGACCTCCTTCAGCACGAACTGTACAGCTATGGGAAACTGCTACTTTTGTTGTAAATCTCCTGCTCTGATCCTTAGGTTCTGCCTGGAGTCGATGAACTAAGCCATGAGGCTGGCTCTTCTCTTCGTCCTACTGCTGCCAGCATGCTTGGCCAAGCCGTTCCACCAGCAGGGCCTCTTTGACTTTATGCTGGAGGATGAAGGGTCGGCCGACATGCCTCCAACGGACGATCCCGTCATATCTGGATTTGGACCAGTGTGCCCCTTCCGCTGCCAGTGCCATCTTCGCGTGGTGCAGTGCTCTGACCTAGGTAAGTCTAAGAGTATCTTCATAGGGTATATACTTACATTCTAGACATGGGTTTGCAGCTGAGACGGTGAGGCTGCTATACACTGCCTCTCCATAACTGGGTTTTTGTCAAAGAAATATGCTACAGCTACTGTTAACTAGAAAATACTATGTAAAGCAGGCCATAAAGCCCTGAGAAGATGGACATTTTTTGTGACAATGAAGAATGTTTGATTTTTTTAATGTGTATTTTGTTTATGCATGTTTCATTTGTTCTTTGAAAGACCACAGATTTCTGTTGCAGAGAAAATAACTTTTCAAGGCTATTCCTTCAAATGCATGTTAAATAAATTCAGTGAGGTCAGACGTGGGGATGGAAACATTTTAAAAGGTTCTAAATTGCATGGTCCAAGCTCCAACACCCTTAATCATACTGTCTAGTACCTCAACATAGAAATCATCCCATTTCCATTGGAATACATGAGCATGGAATAACCAACCCTGAATCATATATGCTGGAACCAGCTCTTTGGAGGAAAGAGCTTGGAAACACTCCAAAACAATGAACACATTTTGGAGCTCCTTATTAAATATCTTTCTTAGACACTGTTCACGCTGAAACCATGAGAACCTTTCTCACAAACTCCCCTTAGTCCCTCATGTACAAAGGCTTGTCTGCACAGTCGGACCAGCAGGATGTGAAGCCATGCTTGCCATCACTGTATTTGACTTTCCCATGCAGAAATCTCAAGTAATGAAGTTGACTACAGTGAGACTGCTCTTGGTTTAAGCCAGTATTATTCAGTCTAAGTCAGTGTGTAGTGCAGAAAATCAATTAAAGTTGGTTTTGCTCACAAGGAAATTAGGAAATTTATTCAGTGGACAGACAAATAACTTCTCTTATGATTTTATAAAGTTTATTTTTTAAAAAAAATCTTCTCTCAGCTGTTTAAAGGTATAGCTCATTATTTCTATTTTCCCATGTCTTTGATAATTACTGTAAATCATGGCACAAATCCACCAATTAGGACCTGGGTCTCATTGTGGTGGGTGTCGTATAATTACAGAAAGGAGGGGGAAACATTAGTTCCATCCCTAGAAACTTCTGTGAATTTATTAAAGCAAGCCACATAATTACGCAATAGATGATACATTTGGCAAAGACCCAGTGAACAATGCAAGCCAAGTCGCACAAATGAGCACAAACTAACCTAGCCATGCATTCATAAAACTTTCATAGTACTGTCCCTGTTGAAAGATAGTTTCTTTTTTTACCATTTAGGTGCCAGATAGTAGCAAACATTGGGTGGGGAGTGAGGAGGAGGTTGCCCCACATGCAATGAAGGTCTTAAGTTTTATTGTTGTTACACTGGCTAATGCTGATGGAATTTAAATTATTTTGAGAACTTGTTCCCTGTCTGCTTCAATTCTGCAGAATGTAAGGAGCTTTCACTTGGTAAAAAAGTGGAGATATTCACACAGGGACCCTTTGTTGCTGTACTTGCTCCCATGTTCGTTCAGTTCCCCTTCACACACATGGCTTCCAAAGGGTTGCACTACAGTTCACTGCCTACAGATGCTTCTGGGTTAATAGAGTCCCATACTGACAAGGAGACTCAGAATTAAGGCCCCAGGTCTGTGTTTCCCAGATAATTTCAAGAGGGGTGATAAGAGAGAGAGATATTTTGAGCTTGGTTTAAGCCCACATGCTGCAGATACTCAAATGAAAAGATTGTGCTTTTGAAGAGGCTGGACTGATAACATCCAGCCTCTGGGCAGGAAGGAAGAGACATCTCCCTGGGCTTAAAATATGCAGCCCTGCAAAATAAATATTTCCCTGGCAGAGCTCAAGGAAGTAATAATCATTCAGAGTTCCCCAGCCTTGGCATTAAGTTTCATCCATCCTTGTCACATGTGGCTACGCCAGCCCCTGATGGGTTGTGGCCCAAGTAGGAGGCTCACCAGGGCACAGGTCTGGTGGCTGCCCCTACGAGCAGGGACAGGACAGCTCTATGTGCTGCCTGCTCACAGGCAAATCTGTCCTCCGCTCTCCTCTCCTCCGGCCCTGAGTCTGTTTATGTGTGACTCAGACTCAGAGAAGGTCAGATTTACCTACTGACTTTGAGGAAAGCTGGGAGCTGGCCCCAAGAGCTAAAAGTTTCGTTGCAAACGGTGGAGGTCCTGCCAGGATGACGTAGCATGCTCCTGGGCTGTGGCATGAAGGGTGCTTGGGGCACAGCGATCAGGAAGACAATGTGCACACAGGAGCCATGAAACCAGCAATGACATTTCCACCTCCCTCTAACCACCACTCCTGGCACTGCCTGTCCCTTCAGCTCTGGGCGTTTCCAACCCAACGAAATTAGCTACCTCCCTCCCCCAAAATTATCAAATTTAGTCATCTAGTCCTATGGGCACTAATTGAAGAAAAACTGCAGGCAATAACAAGACTCCTCCCAAGGATATATTGAGATCTTACTAAATTAAGTTCCACAAAGGAAAGCTGAAAGGATCAGGATCCTTTCTTCCACTCGCTCTCTGGCATGGAAGGAGGGCTCTTTGCAGCCACGAGCCCCTGGGTGCAGAGGGCATGTCGGAGCAAGGCACCTGGAGGACCCTAATGTCGGCTATTTATGGCAAGGTCTTCTCTTCCTCAGCATGTTTCTTTTTGTGCCCAAAGGGACATTTGCTATTTGTAAACTCTTGCTTCGTAAGGAAAAAGCCAACTGTCTGACACAGAGTTATGTGAATAAACCACAGGACAACTATCACATCCAGGGTCCAGAGATCAGATTTGCCCCTTGTCTCATGAGCATTGGATGGGAATAATAAAAAAAAATAAAATCTAAATTCAATAAAAACAGTTAAAAATATGCCCAGTGGTCCAATTACACACTTGTCAGCTGAATTTTTGCATTCCTCTACTTTTAAGCTTCAGTCACATCTTCCTAAGCACATACCTCTGAATTAATTTATTTTGCCTCCAAGCCAAGAGCTGAGCTAGCAGGATGGAGAAGGCTGTCTTCTCACACCCTGAAGAAGAATTCTCTCTGAGCTGTGGTTACTGACAGATCGAGAGCAGAGCCCCATGTGCCTACCTTATATGAGATGTATTACCTTTGTGCAACAGGCTCAATGATCTCATCAAGGAAGGCCACTGCCGTATCTTTATAAAAGTGCTGCCTTTTCTGAATCTGCCTCCTGTTGCTAAAAGGGAGCCACAGGTTCACTTTTTAATCATGCCCCAGTGTAAGGCGTTATTATGATATAGCCAGACTGTCCACAGCAATCACAAATATCTTCTTAGCAAACACTACAGGTGGGGAGTAGCTGATATAGCTGGTCAGAGGCAGCTTTTCACATTTTAAAATAATAAATACAGGGAAGATATGCAGTCAGTTGGCCAGGCAAACGTACCTTGTAAAAGCCCTAGCAAGGGTTAACTGTTCCATTTAAAGTCTCATCCTCCCAAAGGGAGTCTCAAGAAAAGGTTCCTCCCAGAGCACCCTGGTAGGCAGGAGGACGCATGTGTGATTACTCAGCCCTGCAGTGGATGCAGAATGCTCCATAAGTGTGTTCAGAAGTGGTGGTCAGAGCTTTATTTCACCTTCAGATAAGTCTGGCAGCCCCTTATGAAGTGAGCAGTGTGCAGGATGCAATGAGATCTCCTTCCTTGGAGACTTCACAGGACGTAGGGGGGTCCCTCCAGCCCTCTTGCCATGAGCATCCATGGAGGTTTTGTGGTCTCCAAAAAGTGTGTGTGAGAGATGGATGTCAGTAATCAAAGTTCAAGCGGTATTACAGCTTAAATTGGAATTTTACTCACAGCTCACAAATGCAGGTTTTCTCCAGCTGTAAAGTAAAGAAGGATATGTTGAAGCTCAGCATGGCTGTTGGAGTGTGTGTTTGAAAAGCACTTTGAGAACAGTGGGTGAAAAGCTCACAGATATGTAAAGCATTATTCCAGGGATCTGGTAACAAGAGGCAATTTATCTGAACACATAGTGTCTAAACTGTATTAAGTGATGGCTCTTCAACACCTGAACCATGGTAACGTGATAACGGCTAATTTATTTGTTGACAAAAGATGATTTATCTCATTGTATAAAATCTTCCAGAAACATCTGAACACCCATTTTCTGATTGTGACTCCATTTGGTAACCTCATCTCGCATTATAAAGGAAATTATCTCCTTTGGGATATACCTTGATTTGAACTTCTGTTGTCAACATAAAATCTTTTAAAAGAAAAATAATACATACCTCATTGATGATAAGTCTCAGTCATTTTTATGAGTTCAGGAAAACAGATAGGATTACTTACTACTGTGTACTTAACTTTGGAATCCCTGCCATTATTTCAATATTTACCAATGTTTCAAAATCATAATTTTTAAAGCTAAATGTTTAGCTCAAAATTTTACAGGTTTCTAAAGATGCAATGAGAGAAAGCATGGATCCTTAAATGGCCAGACATTAACAAATATAATTTTTAAATAACTAAGTTTTTGTTAATTTACATTGTAATTACTAACCCTTTAGGATAAGTTATTCCATGTTTTATGCATTTTTTTCCTTCTAACAATAAGGACTAGAGACTTATTCCTTTTATGTTTAATGGAAGCTGAGACTCTCATGAAATCCCCTGACTTCATGGAACTAGATCATTTAACAAAAATATTATCAATAAAAATGGAACCATAAAATCTGGGAAACTATATTATCATTTATACTGAGAGTAGCCTCTGCATCATGATACCATGGCCTTACAACTGAAGACTAAATGCCTTTTTGATCAACAGTCTCTAGCCAAACATAACTTATGCTGTCATCAAACACAGGTCATTGGGCCTTCCACATGCTAACTGGGTGAATTGTAATACTCTGAGATGTTGGAGAGCAGACTGGAGGATCTATGTGAAGTATTACAGGTATTATCTGTAATATAGCAGTGATCTCAGGTGATGTTAGCTATCTAAGAGTCACCTGGGCTCCTTTCACAGCCATGGGGAGAGTTAGGCA